TAGAGTAAGTGAAATAACCAGTCTCAATCTAAAATGGGACGTAAAAATCGGCGCCTGCCCATAGCATTCATAACTTTTCGTTAAAGGTGTATTTCACTGGTCGGTTTTATGATGCAAAATTGCCAGGCGTTGATTCCGTTCTGCAAAGAAGTGAGTTCAATGAACTTGCCAGGGTCAACGGCGAATGGCGACGCAGCGTCTGGCACTGCTCCAGTGCCAGACGCTGCTCTCTCCATGCGTGCCCATGCGTCAGCAGCCGCTCCAGTGCCATGCGTTGTTTTGAACAGCACTGCAAATGGCCCGGACAACGCTGCTTTGTCCGTGTATGCCCATGCATCGGTAGTCGCTCCAGTGCCTCATGTGGCTTTTGACAACGTTGCAAGTGAGCCAGATAGTGCTGCTTCATCCATCTGTGCCTGTAAATCGACAGCTGCTCCAGTGCCAGATGCTGCTCTTTCCATGCGTGCCCATGCGTCAGCAGCCGCTCCAGTGCCACATGTTCTGAACAGCACTGCAAATGACCCGGACAACGCTGCTTCGTCTGTGTGTGCTTCAGTGTCAGCAAATGCCCCAATGCAAAACATTGCTTTTGACATTTTCAATGAACCGGTCAACCGGGCTTTGTCCATGCATACCTGTGCACCAGCAGCCACTCCAGTGCAAGATATGGCTCTCGACAATGTTGGCAGCGGGCCAGCCAGGCAGTATATCATCGAAGCACAGGGTAGCCTTCCCAAAATTTAAATGCTCTCATTACCTTCTTTTGCCTATGGAGGGAGCACAACCTCGACCTTGACATTAATGCTCCAAGAGAACGCCGAACTACGGAAAGAATACAGTGATTTGAACCGAAAATACAAAAACCTGCAAAACCTTCACGAACAAGCAAAGTCAAAATTCCGCAGTATTCTTAAGAAGATGGCGTCCGTCTGGCAAGAGACAAGTGCATTGACGAGATCAGCTTTTCTTAACAACGACCAAAAAAAAGACTCTCACCAGAAAGACCAGTAAAGGCCAGAAGTGGTCTGAAAAGACTATTCGGGAGGCTCCGCAGATCAAGCATGCCTGTGGTACGACTGGATACGAATTGTTGAGGTGTTTGCCGTATCCGATACCTTGATTCGCGGACTCCTGAATATTCGTTTCCTGCCTGGTGTCCTTAAAGAAGTACTAGAGGTACTAAAGCGCAAGTTAGAGACAATGGAAGATGTTGAAAAAGGCTGTGTGCTCTTCATGGACGGAATGGAGATCAGTCATGGCTTCGACCATGAACGCTCACTTGACTGACTTTTTGGGAATACCACACTTTCAGAACCTAGCGTTGATGTTGCCAACCATGCACTCGTCTTTATGGTTGGTGGGCTAAACACGAGGTTGAAATAAGTAATTGCCTACCACTTTACTGTAGCATCAGTGGTAGCATTTTGGAGGATCTTGTCTTCCGTTTGGTTGATTTGGTCGAGCTCTGTTCCAGTATTTCCCTGCGAGTGCTCGTTGTCACAAGTGACATGGGGACCGTCAATCGTGCAGTGTGACGTCTGCTTGGATTATCGAGCCACAGACACTCCGAGACTGTCTGCTCTGTGTCACACCCGCAGCTTGACGGCAGGAAGCTGTTTTTCATGGCTGAAGCAGCCCACGTCTTGAAAAAAATATTCGTGCTAACTTCTTCGTGTAGACACCTTTACTGTGGGAGAGGAGACGGTCAGAGAATACAATATTCCAGGAAGAACTGTAGACGTAGATCATTTTGAAGCTGTGCTGTCTTATGAGAGGAGTAATGACCTAAAAATTGCAAACAGGCCCTCTGACACTTATGTTAGCAGCGGACATTTCACAAAAATCAAGGTAAATATTGCTGTGCAGACGTTTCGTGAAGCTCCTCCTGCAATTTGATATTTAATCCAGCAAGGAGTCTTGCCACCTGAAGCAGAGGCGACAGCATGGTTTTTCGACCTTGTGAGCAGGTGGTATACGCTGATGTCGTCACGACACCCTGCAGTTGCTTTGAGTCATTTCGACCCTCCAAAGCACAAAGAAGCAGTTGGAACCCTGGAACTTGCATGAACCACCTTTGATCAAATCATCATGGGAGCAACTGGACACTGGAAACCATCACAGGCAGGTATTTTGGTATCAACCACTGTTGTTTTGAACCTCTCAAATGAACTCTTGAACAAGCACAAATACAAGTACCTCCTCACTGGTAGGTTGAGTCAAGATTGTCTTGAAAACATCTTCTTGGTCCTAAAGCTCAAGAAACCTGTCGCAAGTGCATACGATGTGGAGTGTGCTTTAAAGTTGATTTGTGTTGTCCAGTTCTTTGCATACGCCCAGATCTTCTAGCTACAGCGTCGATGACAGCACGCACCTGGCTGACCTTCTCGACCCCAGTCTCAAGAAACGGAAGAAAAGAGGTTGAACAGGAATCTGAAGAATTGGAAACCTTGTTTGTGTGTGGTCTGACTGGAGTCGAATGCGACGTTCTTGCCTACGTGGGAGGTTTTCTTCTCAAGACTCTCATCAAGTCCTTTGGCAACTGCAAGGACTGCAAGGGAGCCCTAGTTGGAGATAGTGCAAGCCAATATAGCAGCCTAATCCACCTGAAGGAGTATGTCAAGAATGCTGGTAACCTCATTCAACCCAGCCAAACTGTGATGAGTCTCTTGACAGTGCGATGAAAACTTCAAGGCTTTTGCACAAATGAATGAAATTCTGACGCTCAGAACTCCATTCACCAGCATTCTGAATGCACTCCGCAAGTCTGTGAGAGTACGGTTAGGCTGCTGTGACATGCACCATGATCAAGCAGAAAAGATGCTGCTTGAGAAGTACGTGAGAACGAGGCTTATGATTTATCTTCGAGAGCAACATACACAGAGAGTAGATGCAGCATCGAGCAGGTCATGTGCTGCGGCAAACCTTCATTAACCTCCGGATAGGTCGTTTTAGCTAGCGGCGGGCCGAGCTGCACTCCCGTGTTACATTTACTGAACTGCCAAAGCCCTATGTAAAGGTCTTTCACACAATGTTTTCCCACATCATTCTTGCCAATGTTTTAAAATTGTGTTAGCAACAAAGGGTAATACTGCTATCCAGAGTGCACTTCTTCGATTTTTTGTTTCTCAATTACAAGCACTGTTCTTTTTTTAGTGTCTTGCTTTTAAGCCCCATTGAAGATTAAGTTCTCCTTGACAGATGCTTTGGTTTGTTGAATTTTGTATATGTTTGTATTGTCAAATGTGTTGATTGTGATATAATTAACAGCATGTTTTTGTGAGGACAGCCATGCAGCTTAATAAATCAACTTGTCAGAAATGCACTTCGGCTGTTTTCATTTGTCAAATGCATAATAACTAAAACTATAGTAGTAAGTGTGATTATGGGGTATTAAAAAACCTAAGGAAATCGAAATTCGTAACAGCATAACTGTGCACATCATGAAATAGGTCCCCCAGCCCTCCCATAGACGGCTGCAGAATGATGAATGAATTAATAAAACTTTAGTTAATAACAGGATAGACAGACCAAGAAATAGTCTACACTTTGCTTCGAGCAGCACAGCGGAATTACAGTGACGTGTTGTGCCAAGGCAAACAAAACGTAATAAGCTGCATGGTCCCTGCAAAGTTATAATAATTTCAATTTCCCTAAAGCGCCCACTAGACATGTCGGATAGCCCAATAAGTAATGCAATTATTTTTGGCGCCATGAAGAAATTACCAAAAAAAAGTGCTTGGAACAAGATCTTCAGTATTCAGATAATTGTCCCAGATTCTACAACCTTCGTCCCCCTTTCAACCAAGTAGTTCATTTCTCGCTTGAAAAGCGCTTGGGATTCAGACAAAAAATTGCCGACACCGCACACCACACGTCCTCCTTGAGCAGCATCCTCTTGTCAATATGCTTTCGGAAACTGTAAAACCGGTAGACACCTGCAAGCAGAAAGTCTGGTGAACATGGTGGGAGAAGGATATACTCATCAAATGCATGTTATTTCGATAAAGTCATCCTTCTCATGATTGGGCGGTCATTTTCTCTATAGATCAACACTCTTTCGATTAATCGTTGCAGAACTCTACGTGAAAATCTGATTTGGAAGTAGCAGTTCAAACTGAATGACACCACGCATATCCCACGAAACACCAGCATCATTTCGGGAGTGGAGGTGTTGTGTTTCACCTGAGCCCACCACATTACCTTTACACAGCAACTGACGTTTGAATTTATATTGCAGTTAAAGATGCATTTTCCGTCTCCTACCATCATTGGGTCCACAATGGGCTCCCTTTTGTTCTGGTTCAGTAGGGCACTCTAAATGTCCACATACTTCTGCTAGGGTGCCAACTTATGGGGCACCTATTTTTCCAGTTTGGCCGCGTTCCCGAAGTCGGAGAGTTTGTTTTTGGTGCACCTGATTCACTTTTTAGCGACGAAGGTCGTTGCGCCTAGGCGCCGAAGCGGCGGGGGCCCACTGTAGTGTAGAATAAACAGTTATGCACTGGAAAAGCACAAAGCGTCCTCTAATTGTCCGGACCAAAGTTCGTTCCTCACCGACCGTCGCGGCCCCGCAACGTCATTTTCTTCTGATCTAGCTGTAAGCCGCATGTCTTACGTTTCTCTTACATAATCAACAGCTTGCCAGTGCCTCACTGCGCCGTCCGAGCGAACAAACTCAATCTTGTCGCGCAGGTAAGAAGTAACTTCGCTAGCAAATAACGTCGCTTGTATAACATACTTCTTTGCCTTTGCTTTCAGTAGAAAGGCGTGCTGTCGCGGTACAAGCAAAGGGCCTTAGAACGTGCCCGTAGCTTCTTGGTCACAGAATATAAAACATTTCCTCTTTCGTGACTGAAAACTCCTGCCCGTAGAACGTCCTCCATGCGAACGAAGGGCCCCAAGATGGCGGCCCGTCAAATTTGGTAGCCGTTTCAGCTGGCGCGAGGCAACACTGGCCAAAGATGTCGTCACCCTAAGACAGGAGTCGGCATGGAGGCTCCCTATTTGGGGGCGCCTTCCGCGACATGCTCGGTTTCCCTTGACCTTTTAGGTGCCTGGGCGCCAGCGTTGGCCATTGGGATGTCCGCATTTTCCTCGGTGTCTGTGCAGATCGGTAATTTCTCGAACTCGACGGCTTCAGTGCCCTCGCTGTCATCACCGCCGGGTGCACCAAAGGTTAAGTTCACAATTTCAGGTAGTCTCTGGTGGACTTCACCGGAGGCCCCTTCTTTAACATCTGTAGTCACTTCTGGCGCCGTTCCAGGGACTTCTTCCCTAGTGGCCTCCGCTTCCCTGGCGTACAGTTTGTCCATGAGAAACTTTGATGTTTCTTCTTCTCTCACGGGCTCAGCGACAGCCGCGTATGTCCGCACGCACCGGTCAGTCTCATGGCCAAACCGGCGGCACTGGTTGCAGCGGGGTACCCGGCACTCTCGACAAATATGGCCAGTGCGATGGCACCTGATGCAGAGAGGCGCGCGGCCTGGCGCCACCACAAGTGTCATCCCCCCAGCCATTCGCACCTGGCGCGGAAGGTCCTCGACAGTAACGCCTGCCTTCAGAGTAATGAGAGCGGTCCTCGTTTTCGACTCGATGGACTCACACCTTTGGACGCGCCACTTCTCCCTGGTCACCTCAGTCACTTTTCCGTAGAGTGCCAAAGTGATACGCACCTCGTCGTCCGGAACGTGATGAGGCAACCAGTGAATCTTCAGACGCACGCTCTGGCCGTTGGGGTCGAGACAAGGCAGCGACGCTCCTTCATCAGTAGGTCTCGGGCTTCAACCAGCTTCTTCTTGCTCTCGTTGTTTCTAAACGTCGTCAGCCACACGAGGTTCATTTGGTAAGAGCCCAGCGAAACCACTTCGGTCAGCAGCCCCATACTGCTCAGTGTGTCGCGGAAGTCCTCAATTCGATACGTGCGCCCTTTAACGTCCACGTGTAAGAACATATTGAATTTAAAACAGCTGATTTAGTTGGCAGCGGTGGCAGATGAGCTGGGTAATCAGATTCAACAGAAGATATCAGCACGGCCCGTCTGGGCCGTTATCGCCGCTTTGACGGTGCTCGACATTCCGTGTCCTCACGCTGCGGTGTCCGTGAGTGGAATTCTCTAGGACACTGGCGCGCTGCCTACTTGGTCAACTGCGCGCGGCAATATTGCCAACAAAATTTTCACGACTAGCTCTTACCCTGACTCACTTAAAATAGCAAAAGGGGTTCCAATATTTAAAAAGGAGACAAACTAAAACCAGAGAACTATCGACAAATAGCCTTACTTCCTGTTATTAGATAAGTTATTGAAAAACTACTACTAAAGCGACTGAACCTGTTCTTATCTGAACATTATTTGATCACTCCGTAACAATATGGATTTCTTAAAGGGAAATCAACAGAACTCGATCGCGTTATTAAATATGGTAGAGAAAACAAAGCAAAACATTGAAATGAAGTTATTAACAATAAGAACCTTTGTAGACATAAGAAAAGCGTTTGACCTTGTTAACCGTGAACATTTACTACAGAAATTAAGTGCTTACGGGGTTCGTGGTGTTGCTCTCAATATAATCGAAAGTTATCTATCTAAGAGATGTCGATTTGTCTCTTTAGCTGGCACTATTTCAAAACCTAAATCTATTACCATTGATGTTCCGCAAGGCTCAATATTAGGCCTCTTCCTTTTTTAATATATATTAATGACCTGCCAGCCTATTTACAAAAATTGGAATTGGAATTAGGCAGGGATGGGCGAAATACATGCAAATATGTATCGAAATACAAATACAAAATACTTCGTCAAAATGTATTTAATTACAAACCTAATCACAATTCCAAAAAAGCATTTAAATACAATATACAAACACAACCAAGTGTGTTTGGTCGTCTCCAAATACTTTTCCAAATACATTCCTCAAAATGTGCGTCAGCAACTTCAGGACACCTGCAACGGGTTTCTGGGTATCTCATTTTAATTTTGCATCGCACACTTGGCAGTTAGTGTACGAGGCTCTAGTAACGTAATAAAAATATAATCACAAAACACGTAATTAGCTTGGACGTAATAGGTGAAAAAAGTAAAAAGCTTCAAGCAGCTTTTTTTGTCGATTACATTTTGGTATAAACCAATAAAGAACCGAGACGACCAAGACGCGCAGCACTAGCTAGAGAATTTTTTTATTGTTGCAACTCGCATCAGTTACGAAAATCTGGACGACCCACGCATTTAGAATGTTCCAGTCAAAAATATGGATGAAAATCAGGCTGGAAAGCATCACAAGTTGTCACAGGCACTTATTTAGCCAGTCTGCCTGTGAACGTCGATTTCGTCACTATTCTTGCCCTGGACTAGCACCGTAATCACAAAGTCACTAAACGCTTGTGCTTGATTTAGAGACACTGCATTCGCTGCAGAGCGTAGTTTTCTTACTGCTCTGGACAGTGACAACAAATTTGAGAAATGTATTTTCGCCAACAAAATTGTATTTAATTACATTTGTATTTGAAATACCCACGTTTTAGTATTTAAATACACACGTCAAATACATTACCCAATTTGTAATTAAATACAAATGCAAAAAACACAAAGTATTTAAAATACGTATTTCAAATACTTGTATTTGAGATACTGCCCATCCCTGTAATTAGGTTTGTAATTAAATACATTTTTGACGAAGTATTTTGTATTTGTACTTCGATACATATTTGCATGTATTTTGCAAATTCCTGTATCGAAATATACCAATGCTATATAAACTGTGGCACATATTTTCCTTGCGAACCCTTCAAATGCTTTATCATAGCTTTATTCATACTCACATTTCGTACGGGTTATCCAATTGTGAATTAAATTATAAAACAACACTAAAACCCATAGAAATTGCCCAGAACACAGCACTACGAGCAATGCTTTGTTTTAATAGGCGCGAAAGTGCTCAATTTGCATAGAGCTTACTGAAGATTTTAACAGTTCATCAATGCCTTGATTATTGTACAGCATTATTAACATTTAAGTTCATCACCAATCGGATAACATGCTCTTCAATTGGTTTTACTCATCAAGAGGTCATGTGTCCTCTGCGTTAACAAGTCCAAGCGTGAATGTGTGTACCATACATACGAACTAATTATGGCGCGTTCACCTTCATTTAGATTGCTACTAAAACGGAGAACTCCCTACCACCACAGCCTAATTGCCATATCATCATTCTATATCTTGAAGTAAGCCATACGCGCACACATACTAACTGCATGATTCATCAACAATTTCTATGCCCCCCACCTTTCATTCTTCTCTGATAAGCACACCTTTCACACATTCACACACATACACAAACAAACACTGGTATTGTCCTTGTTTTTTCTTGACTTTCTAGCTGTTCTTCTTTCTCTTTTCAGTTGGTTTTATATTTTGATTATGGATCATTGAGTTGAATGAAATGCAAACAGTGACGGATCTTCAAACCCACTACCGGTGCAGCTACCAAGGAGTATTGTGTTTAGCGAAGTTCAAACACGTCGGAGTAGGGCGCTGCGAGGTTGTGCGTCCTACTCCGCTGGGTTTGAACCTCGTCAATTACACCCCAAGCTTGGAAGCTGCTGCGGTAGTGGGCTTAAAGTTATGTCACTGTTCGCATTTCATTTAAACCCGATGGTACATACCGCGAACATGTTTCTTTTTTTCTTTTTTTTTTCTTTTTTTTGTGAATGGTGCCAACTTGATCGCTGACTAACTCTTTATTACCAAGGTGTCCCTTCAACAGTTTTTTTTAGCTTTGGGACCCCTGTCTGAATAAGTGTAATTAACTAACATCTTGTTTATAAATAAAACACATTTTGATTTGATTTGAGCATTTTATTGGAAAGCCTCAATAGATATTTATTGTGTACGTATTTGGTTTTGAATATTTACTATTTTTCTAATAGAAAAAATAAAAGAGGCGCATTATCTATAAATACAAGAAATAAAAATATTTAATAAGTAAATTGTAAACTATTTACCTAAATCGCAGTGTAATGCGACATGCCTTGTTATATCATGGTATAAAATTAGTGCAAGTTGATCAATGATTCATATTTGCGCGCTCAAATATATTACTAGAAAGAATATATGGCTGGTGTGTGGCGTGTGTCTGCGGATTTGTTGCCATTGCTCGCCATAATTTCGTTTCATTTTTGAAATAATGTTCCAGTTCAGCTCCGCCAGTTCTTTGCGGCTTATTATTATTTTTTTTTGCGTCAGCCTATTTACAATTGTATTCGCGCGCGTGTACAGGTACAATAAAATGAGAGGTTTAAAAGCGACTGAATGGCTATAATGAAAGGAGCATGATAAATATTCGGACATGTTAAAAGCTGTATTTTTTCCTTTTTAGAGCGCAGCTCTTAGGCGCCCGTTTCCGGCTTGAGCGGCGTCGCCGTCGCCGTCACCGTCGGCGTAACAGTGAGGTCACGTGACCCCGGTGACGTCACGTGGCTCCCGTGACGTCCCGTGACCTTCGTGAGGTCACGTGACTCCGGTAACGTCATGTGACCCCCGTGAGGTCACGTGACCCCCATGAGGTCACGTGACTCCTGTGAGGTCATGAAGGTCACGTGACGTCACGATGCTCATGTGACCTCACGGTTACGCCGACGGCGACGCCGCTCGGAGGGAGGAGTAGCAGACAGGATGAGGAGGTGAGGAGGATGGAGGAAGGAGATACCTTCCCCTCGGTACATTACCCACCTCATCCTGCGCTCCTCCTCAAGAGCTGCGCTCTAATTCGGCGTTACAGCGAGTTGTAAAAGGCTTTCAATTTTTACCGGAAACCATTTGTTCGTAGAAACATCCTTGTGAAGGCGCTGGAGTAAATGTGGTCGAAATTTTGCCTTGTCCTCGTAAAGTGAACCACTCATTTCATGCCCTACAGAAATGCAGTGCATGCTTTAGTTTTTTTTTCTTTTTATGTATATCAGTCAGCTGAGGTTTTCACAGAGAGGAGCTAACTAACTGTTTAGGCTTTAGGAGTGAATTCATGCTCAGGATTCCACAATGGCTATCCTGTTCTCATTCAGCGTTCATGTTCTCTCTAGATGAGGCTCAGCCAGAAGCGGGATCGTAATTCATACTTTTACAATATCATCATCTCTCGGAATGTTTTTAACGGTTTTAGTTTTTACAACAACTTCAAATGAAATTAAACCTGTCTTTTATATTTGTTACCTACAATTCATGGTATTTTATGATTCTGAGATAGTATGTAAACTGATTGGCTTAAAATCTCCGTGTAATCGATGGATGATGTATGATATCATGTTTTTCATTAGGTCGTTAATGATGTTGATTTTACAGCGCTACCAAATTGCATTTTAAGTGTTTTTCAGAGGTGTAGCCGCGTACGCTAGGTGTTTTATACTGTTGTTTTACACAATGCATGCTTTTCCCATCTACAACCGGTTTTTAACAAATCCAAGTTAAACCTAAATACATTATATAATAATATTTTTGACCGCGAACAAATATTTAGAAGGTGCATGAACGTCCGCCTTCCAATATGACGCGTCCTGGTTTGTTTTTGTCGTGTAAAGTTTTATCATTTTGACGTAG